ATTTATTTTTTTGGCAATCATATAGGCAGACCTGAAAGATGTATGTTTCCTGCATTAGATCAATATTCATTGCCAATAGGCCTACCTTGTTTGGTAGGACATCTTTGTTCTCATCTCCGAAATCTCGAACGCTTTTTTGTGTGCCTGGCTCTTATGGTGCTTATAAATCTTTTTCCGCAGGTTATTCTGTTGATCACAGCTGACTTTTTCCTGAATCCATTCTTGTGAAAGGTGCACAAAGGTGGATTTTTTTGCGAGCGGCAGGGAGATCAATATAGTTTTTGCCTCTTTGCAAATCTCACATCCACATTTTTTTTTTTTTTTGAAAAGCCATGGTTAACTTTCATTCCACTCACTCCATATTTTCTGTGCCCAGTTAAAAGGCAGGCCATGGGCATCGTCAGGAAAGGTTCGCTAGCGCAGGTGGAGCCGGCGGCTGTGGCCGTTGTTGAAGCCTCTTCACGCTCCGCATCGGCAGGCCTCTCCCTCGGTGTGGAGCTGTCAAACTCGACCCTATAAAAATGAAAGTGGCCAAGAGCTACTTGCATCACATCGCTTACATTTTTTCACATAGCCCTCATCAGTTGAATTAAGCTATACTTTTGTACATGTGCGAAATTGCAATAAAGCTAATCAAAGATCTTAACTTCACATCAAGGTCCAAGAAAACGAAAATGTCTCATCTTTATGGCCCACATAGTAAGTACATCACTGAAAATTCACATAAATGTCCTTAATCACCACCTTACAAGCATCTCACTCTTTTGTACAGTTAGTGAGATGAATGGCGCTGCATGGAGTCCACCATAGAGGTGTATGTGTGACAGACAAGAATAGTCAATTCTGAGAGATAGATGTATCCTGCTGTATGGGTTGATTGTGCGTTAATCTGTTGCTAATGCCTTGGGGTTCCAGTGGGAGGGATCACTGCGCTCTTCCTCGCTCGATTATTTCAGACAGTGAAGGCGGGAGCTGCGTAGTTGTATTTCTTCACTTTTCTCATTCATTATTTCCCTTTTTAAGGTAATTACAGTAAACAAAGCACTATAAATGTATCAACCCATGTTATATATAATCTGTATTACATCACCGTGGTTCGTTGTGAGAGGAAAGTGTGTATTTTGTAATTTGTTGTATTGTTTGAAGGTTCTTGCTAATTCTGGCTAACTTTGTGGGCATTGAAGCTAGCTGCTGTATACTTCGTGGTGCTGCTGAATCTGACCGTTTGTCATGTTGTTAGCAGCTAAGCTAGGCACTGTTACATTCACATTCCCATACAGATTTTGTGTTATCACTGTTAAAGAGCTAAGGATAAAGGAGAATTTAGTGATTATTATTAGTCCTGAAACTTAAGTGTATTCATTGTAAATGTACAAGCTTCATTATAAAGATGGCTCGATTCAGACGAGTGAAGGCGGGAGCTGCGTAGTTGTATTTCTTCACTTTTCAAATTCATTATTTCCCTTTTTAAGGGTACAACANTCACCCTCTCAGACTTTCAGTTGCGCGATACTAAAGAGACACGCTACCATGGACCAAACAATGGTGTAGCTGTATTAAAGTCTGAGTGGAAACAGTCCTGAGTAAATCTGATTTTGTCAGAAATCGGGAGAAATGCGGGAGAAATATGATCCCGGGAGGAAACCGGGAGAGGGCAATGAAATCGGGAGTCTCCCGCGAAAATCGGGAGGGTTGGCAATGTGCCCAGTTCTCCACTGGTTCTCCTCACACCACAGCTCAATTTCTCTCCGATGGCCGTTATTTCTTCTAATCCTTGGCCGCTCCTGGTCTATTGGACGACTAGCAGGCTCATAATTATAAGGTTGTGGTCCGTCATATGCATTCTAATATACATGTTTAACTTCTTCTGTGTCGAAACTAGCATTGGGATCCATGTTTAATAATACGTTACATACCCCCTTGTTTCCCCTTTGTTACGTCACAGGCGGGAGGTCACGTGGGGAGGCTTTTTTGATGCGGAAGTAAAAATGTCTTACAAAAACGACGCCAGATGTCACTGTAGTGTATATTTATGTATATTTTTGGGAAAATCTAGTGTATACATCATTTTCCTACACATTTATTCACAGGTGTCTTTAACCTGGAAGTTGCACTTTAAAGATAAAAAGAAAGTACAAAAAATACTTTGTACAGTTTAATAATAAGAGAAAAAGCAGAGATGATCGAGAGTAAGTATAAAAAGAAACGTAGAGAGATCATCTTGATAGCATGACATGTAGATAGCTGAACGTGGGGGTTACTAGAATGACGAGTGAAGAAAATCTAAGAGAGTATTAAGGAAATTGTGCAATCAAATGTGTTTAACATTCCAACCTTAGTTTCTCTGATTAGGTCATCTCTTCGGGAGTGAACCTTAAATGTATGTGTGGTCCCACGCGTGTGCGCATCGCGTGACACCACCAGACGTGTGTTTTAGGAGGGGAGGGGGCGGAGGCCTTTTCTGGCGATACTCGCTCGCTCTACGACGGGCCGTGTTATCAGCTGTATAACCGCGTCCACCCCCATTGTCCTTAACGCTAGGGGCGGGTGTGCGGTGGTTTTACATACAGAGGGCCAGCGAACGGGGTATCAGCCTGGCTCGCCAGAATGATTGGGTTGTAATATAACTCTGCCTTCTTGATGTCCTCT